GTGCACTGATAGATGGTCTATAGATTCAGTTAATCTATAACACTGGGGGCCAACTTTTCTGGCAGGCATGCCATAAGTCCTGCACCCGTACTGAGTGCCACTCTGATCCTCTGCCCCTGTCTGACCTGCTGCCCTGCTTTCTGCTTCCCTCTCCTCACCCCTATCTGCTGCTTGTTATGCAGAGGCTATTGTGCCATGTGCAGCATTGCGTGTCATAGGTTGGTCACCTCTGGTCTATAAGGTGCACCTCTGCACTAACTTTAGACTAACAGAATTAACTAGCTCTCTCTTTGCCTACCGTTTAAGCCTTAGAGAATGCCCTGGTCTCTCACCTAAGCTACGTATTGGGAAACAAAACCTAAACACTGACTAGAAGAGAATGCTATCCTAAAAACGTATCCTTTTTTAGAACAGATATGCATGTCCAGTCAAGCACCCACAATTGGACAATTTTGAAAACACAATACAGGGTTCATATTCAAAGGGGTTAATGTAGTGCTTTAAATCCTAATAATGAATGCCACAAGTATATTATCTTTTGAAATTTAACAGTTCTAAGTTATAGTCAAAATATTTACTGTAATTATAAAAAAGCCAGAGCTTTTACTATTGGACTTTATTATGAAAACATATGTTTCGTTGTAAAAAAAGATTAACAGTAACTCAGTAATTATCACTAAGAACTAATTAGGTGAAAAATAGAGATGTCATTCATTGAAATCTAAGATAAAATCTTCTCACTGTCCCTTTGCTCCAAATGGCTAGGATTCTATTATTAAACTATTGAATGTGTTAACATTTACATTTAAAATGTTATTTATAAACTACTTGACCTTAATTATGCTAAAATAAGTAATGTTAGCTCCTTCCACTTCTTAAAGGCACATAATTTGGTCAATCTCAGACCTTTTCCAGTGTTGTATATGTTTACTGCATCAGTGAAAAAATGCTACAAAGTCACATGCTAAAACGGTCATGATCTGATAGATAAATGGTACTTTCTTGTTATTTTTATCAAACAGGATTTACTCCCCCTCCCCGCTCCCTGTTATGAGCTGAATATCTTAAAGTCTTTGCACATCAGCTTTGGTGTGCTCACCTGTGACTAAGGGCGTTTGTGCAGTTGGTTGTTCCAGTAAGACCATATGTTGCAGGAGAGGGTTGTGTGCAGTTCCCCCATCCCTTTCCAACGTTGTAGTGCTCAAATAGGGAGTAAGGTGGGTGCCAGGAAATAAAGAGATCCTCTGTTGTAAGGTTGGAATAGCAAGTCTCTCAGCATCCTGCTGTCCTGATCCCCCCTGGAAATGCACAATTGGCAATACATATATAGCTTCTGAATGAGTCCATATAACCACAAAGCAAAAAGCTACATTAAACATCACTTACGCTGGAAGGGCCAGTTGCAGGCAGTCCTAATGTTATGTTGGGTAAGGAAGGAGATGTGTAGAGAGGAAGCTGTGTTACTGAACCTTCGCGATTCACTAGTCTGTGAGCCAAGCTGGTCTGGAAATACAATCAAGAACACTGTCACAACAGGAGAGTGTACAGAGATTATACTGAAGCCATATTTCTGTTCTGCCTCATTCACAAACTGCTGAATACAAGCCACATTAGGAAAGGAAATGAGACAGAAATAACAAAAAAGCAAAACCTTCACTTCAGATACCAAAAGATATAGAACTTAAGGGCTAAGTCGTGTCCGCGGTCTAGCCCAAGTAATAGGGATGGGCACAAAAATTCACATGTGTAATCCTTCCTGAAGGCAACAAAGTTGTTTTGAAAGGTCTCATCCAATGGTCTGGCTATAACAACCTCTGACCTAGTCACAGTCCCCCACAGAAATGGAGGACAGAAGAATCCATGAAGTGTGATGCTTTCTTCCTGTAACTAGTGATAAATCCCACTTACATCAAACTGTTCTGCAGTCTCCCTTTGGAGCTAAATTCAGTCCAACACAGCAAGCAGGAGTTGCATGCAATTGTCCCCAGAATCCTCTCCCCCACCCCGCAACTTTTCATGCAGGAAAATCTTCAGTTTCTTTGTTAAAAGATGGTCCAAGCTTCACTTGTCCCTTAGGCTAAGTACAGACAGTCAAAAAGCCCTGGGCTGAAACAATTGAATCTTTGCAGGTTTCTCTAAACTACATAGATTGAACCAATAAGCAAGTGAACTCACACTCGCTTCTGAAACCAGAAAGGCAGCCAGACCCCTGCAGTGGCCCATACCAGTAGCCACGGGGAGGGGTCAATAAGGCATGCCTCCCAGCCTACTGATCATTGCCAAAGCCTGTAGTGGGGGCTTTAATCCCCCATACCTGCCCAGAGCTGGGCACAATTCCCCCAGTCATGCCCCTTCCTCAGCCTCTAGGCCAGCTAAGGAGGGAGTGGGGGGAAAACCCATCCACCTGGCCTAGCACCAGAGCCCACCCCCTCCTCAGTCAGCCAGAAGAGTGACAGTGCTCCAGTTAGGGAACAAAGGGGAGGGGCAGACCCTGCTCTGCTGGAGCAGACAGCATAGTACAGGGCTGCAAAGCATCCTGGGATACTGGGGGACTGTGAATTAGCTTGAACCTGGCAGGGGTCTGGGATAGAAGTTCCATAAACCAGTTTGACCTAGATCAGTTAAGTCTGATACTACATCCAACTAGGTTTATCTTCAATCAATGTTGGCCATTTTGAAAGCGGTTTAAGTGCACTGAACTTCTGCTCTGTTACAGGTTTAAACTAGTTTCTGATCACTTCTGTCCCTAGCCTTACAGGACAATGTCAAAAAAATATATAACACACTAGATCGACGCTCTCTTCAGCTGACCATAGACAATTATGAATATATTACTCCCTACTGGGCAGTATAGGGAAGTTGGGCTAGAAGTGACCTCACAAGGTCATCTAGTTCAGCCTCCCTGTGTTAGGCAGGATCCTCCCCAACTGACACAGCCCAGCCACGCATCTGTCTACTTTGCTAGTGAAAATTTTCAGGGATGGAGATTCCTTGGCTTCTCTTAGTAGCCTGTTCAATGCTTGACCATTTTCATAGTCATAAAGTTCTTCCTAATCTTTACCTGCATTTCCTCTATTGCAGCTTGAGGCCATTGTTCCTAGTCCTGTCCCCTATGGCAGGTAGTTTAAATATGCTGTAGTTCCAATTATGTAGCTTTGATTTGATATTCAGGGACAGAATGTGAAATTAACTGGGTCGATTACATTATGTGTAATGCAGAACTACTTTAAAAAGTATTTTTTTTAATTTCACAGAAACTACTGTTTATAAATACTAAAGGTTTTATTGCAAAAATTGGATTGCTAATAATTGTTAGATGGGCATAGTTACCGAGTTGTTAAAGTGTTTTGTTACCACTCCAAAGACATGAATTCAATCCTCACTCCAGACTCATGAGAAAGACTGCTCCCAATCACTCTAGCTGTAAATGGACACCTGCTTATTTGGGTAGGAGTCAAAGGTGGCAAATGCAATGCTAGCTATGCCACTCCTGTGCATGCTGTTGGCTAAAGAAACTAGCTTGCCTTGACCACACTAGCCTGGTGGGCTGTTCAGCTCCAAAGAAACTAAGGTTGATTTTTTTTTAATTTCCTGAGGTCCTGGTGAGAAAATAATTGTTATGATCACACTGAATTATGCAACAGAGAGTTTTCTAACTTATGAGTCTATGGTTAAAAAAAAGGTTTTGGAAACATTTCTCATAGTTTCATAGTTTTAGGGTCGGAAGGGACCTAATAGATCTTCTAGCCCGACCCCCCGCCAGGGCGGGAGAACAACAAAAGAACCCTAAACAAAAAACGGGACTCAAATGAGTCCAGCCAGGTAGGTATCCAGCCTCTTCTTAAAGATCCCCAGGGTAGGGGCCAGCACCACCTCCCTTGGAAGTTGGTTCCAGCTCCTAACCGCCCTAACTGTGAAGTAGTTTTTTTGGATGTCCAATCTGTACCTCCTCTCCATCAACTTGTGCCCATTACTCCTTGTTATGCCAGCGGGGGCTAGGGGAAACAGCGTCTCCCCCAAACCCTTCTGGTTCCCCCTAGTGAGTTTATAGACGGTCACCAGGTCCCCCCTCAGCCTTCTCTTGTGGAGGCTGAATAGGTTCAGGTCCCGCAGTCTCTCACTGTAGGGTCTGCCCTGTTGTCCCCGGATCATGCGGGTGGCCCTCCTCTGGACCCTCTCCATGTTGTCCACATCCCTCCTGAAATGGGGCGCACAGAACTGGACACAATACTCCAGCTGCAGCCTGACCAGCGTCGCATAGAGGGGGAGGATCACCTCCCTGGCTCTACTTGAGATGCAGCTGTGGGATAAAGCTTCTCATTCAGCTTTATCTTTAAATACTAAAGAGAATGCATTTATGAAGGTGTTCAATAATATTTTATTATTTCATAGATGTACTTTAGCATGGCTGTGAAAGGATTTTCAAATTATGAAGTTGAGATATTTTTATTCAAAGTACTGAAGTCAATGGAAATTTGCAATTAACTTCCATGAATGCAGAATCAGGCCTGTTTGCAATGATGAAAAGGAAAATAATTATCTTTTATTTATCTTAAAAACCACACTAAACTGCAAAATAAAGAAAGACTTTTGCAAACCATAAACAAAATAGTATATACCTGAGACTTATTACTGAAAATTAGAATTACTGAATACAGAATGAGAAAGGCCACTCTTCTGTAAGACTAATGCTAATGATAAGGACAGGGTAGAGGGGAACACAGATAAGTAGCATGGAAAACTCTGCTGGCAAAGATGGCAAATATAATTTTTTTAAGACCGCTTTTCCAAACAAATATTTTACTCACTTGTTTCAATTTTTGAGTCCCTTCCCCTGTTTGCAAGTTTATTAATCAGAATTATTAAAAATGTATTATAGAACAGGTCTCACTTTTCTTTACAGGAAGAAACATTTTATTAAATAAGTTTTCATCAAGGCAAAATAGGAGAGCAATATGTTCTGATACTAAGTAGCGTGTGTGTGCATGTGTATATGTTTTTACATGTACATAAACATATGTATAGCATGTATGCATGTATATTCGCTTATTTGCCGAGGTAATTTTGAACATTTCCTGGCAATTTTTCTTTAAAGTATTTTCAAAACGTTAGTGTAATACACACTGAAAATAAGATAGGTACTGTAAGTACTGAAACCTTTAACTGATCTTGTAAAAGAAACAAAATAACATCTATTTACTCTTTAAACAATCAATGCCCATTTAGATATGCCTCATTCTCAGGAGGATTTATTTGTTTTAAACAAAACTGAGTGAAAAAGGCAACAGTTTGAAACCAACTCTGAACACAATATTTAAATTCCATTATCATCATCTTAAACATACAGGATCCATCTATAAATTGTACATAAATGTCTGTAGAATTACAAAGCAATGCAGAATTCCAGCACCTACAATTTATCTGTAATCAGCCACCTTTTCTGTAGTCTTATATCAAACAAAATATCAATGAATGCCAAATACCCTTGCAAGTTGGAAAAACAGTTGTAAGATTTAAAAGTAAATGTATGTATCTATTGTAAATAGAATGGGGCTGCATTCTTTCCACAACTGAGGCCAGTAATTTAAATTGTGTAAACTAGAATAAATAATCGCCCTCAGTATGGGTGATGAGATGAACATCTAATCAAGTGACACAAAAAAAAAGATACATTTCTCATTTAAAACCATCGAGGAAAATGCGGGCAACTGGTTCAGCTAGTAACATGGGCTACAGTGCTTACAGACAGGGAAGCAGGGCATGAGCACTATTCAGCAGAAGCAAATGTTGAATGTAGGGAAGACTTACTTATACTTGTATTTAAATTATTACAGCAATGTGGTTTATTAACTATATTTTTGCTCTCATCCATAACATGATAAAACAGGTGAGAAAACTCGGGATGTAAATTCTGGACAAAAAACCAAAACAAAACCAGAACAGAATTTTTACTTTTCACAAAGACATGCCTCACTCAAACTTTAGGCAGGCAAGTTCTCTGGGTAAGTGTTATCTTTTATTAGACCAACTAAATAGTTGAAAAAAAGTGTTCTTTGCAAGTTTTTGGGCACAAACAAAAAAGCTTTGCTATTTTAAAATAATTCACGGGTCACTGTGCATGTTTTCTTACCTGTACCAAGGCTATAGTGAATCAGAAATTACAATAAAACTAAGAAGGAGGTAAGGGAAATGGCAGGTCATCTTTTATACGTTGTGATCTTGTCCAGAAAATAATTTTGATAATAGACTGGCTATCTGGTAGCACTCACACTTCAATCTTAATTATCCAACTTTGCTGCTTTACAAGAGGCAAAAAATGGACATCACACATACTACTGCAGTCTCACTGAAGAAAGTCGTTGGTGACTAAATGGACATTTGGACATTATGGAACTTTAACTAAAGCCCCTGTTAACTTGGATGTTTTAATTACCCTCCCACACATCTCGAGCCCTGTTAAACATGGGAAATCAAACTGCTCCTCCTTCAATAAAGACTCAACCCTGTTAGACTAGCTGTGGTTTACTGTGTCAAGTGAAGTGACCCACACTGTACTGCATGAGTGATTTAGTGTTACAAAGATTTCTATGATATCTTTTGTTGATTGAGGGCTTTTCTTCCCCTTAATTATGTGTTAAATCTTATTAGAAATAAATAGAGACAAAACTGTACTAACCTAGAAAACTGAAACAGCCTAGATATATGCCTCAAAGTGAATCTTCCATTGTCCAGAATCACAAATCAGAGAGAAACACTGGGCACATAAACGAACTTTGTAATTAAATAAACTATTTTTTGCAGAAGAGTTTATGATTATGATTGCAAGAATAATAGTCGAGACGAAGTTTAGAAATGAGAAATGCATCAACCAGGTCTGGATAATTATATAAGACCTCTCAAAAAATGAAGACGATGCGATCCATCTAGTCCAATATTTTGCTTTCGACAGTGTCCAGCACCAAATGCTTCAAAAGTAAAGTGTAAAATTGCTGCATTTTATGGAATTATGTATTAGAAGTTTATTATTAATAAATCGTTTATGGAAAGTTAGTATCAAACAGTGATTATGTGAAGCCAGGACTTAAACTGTATGAAGCTATGAGGATATTAAGATTTGGCATAAAACATCAAGGTACTTAAGAAAGCCGTCCAATATACTTTCTTGCTCTCACACTTGTAATCTAACAGTGTTTATAGTAATCCACTTCATGGGCATGAAATGATTCTACATTATAAAACAAAAATAAATTCCCATGATTTAAAAATATCTACATTTTGAACTGTCTTAAGTTCTCTCCCAACATCTCTCCTTCTTTTATCTATCAGTTCATAATATGACTATGGCAAATTACAGTAAGCACCTATATGAACAGGCTCAGGCTAAGCACTTTATCTATATAAAACATGTTTAATCTTCACTGGTTCTGAAAGTAGTCATCCCAAGGTCTGTTCCAAATCAAGGTCTAAGGTTTCCTGTATGACTGACACTGGTCTTGATAAACTATGAGCATGTAAAATCTTGAACATATTCAGTGTAAGCATGACTGTTAAAACCAAGGTAAAGAACAGTGCTATACCTCTGCCTGAATACTTGTGACTGATCCTGTAATTCCATTCTCAGCACTTATGTTATTGGAGCTGTTGTTTGGAGAACTGGGACCAGATCCGGGAGCACTGTTGCATGCAGAGTCTAAAACACATCCAAAAACAACTATTAGAAAACACCACAAAGTCTTCCTGCAAGGAAATTTAGATAGATAACAGAATCCCTGAAGTTCCATGTTGGAAAAAAGGAAAACCCCATAAACTTCAACAGGAAATTTACAATTCTGGAAATATATCAACAATAAGTACTTTTAAGCACTCTATCTAAACACTTACTTTACTTATATTTTTTCCTCCCAAGTAGTAGTAGTTTTTCTGGGGCTTTTTATAGTTTGTCAGTAACATTAAATATGATTAAAAACACAAGACCTAGAAAGCATGATTAAGCCAAATTGGAATATGTCAAACTCTTTGGCTACATTTTTATGAAGTGCCTCCTCCAATCCACTTTAGCCTTTAATCTTAATCATGCCTAACTTTAATCATAGCTCCTACTGTATGAGACTTTACACTTGAGCAATTACAAAACTTTCTTGGGTTTGACATTTTCCCATGTACTCTTCTGATATATCTGGATTTATTCATATTTTAAATGGAAACATGCTTTCATTATTGAATACCACAGCTGACATCTAAATTTTATAAGTGTCACAGGCTTTTCTAATGAACTTAACTGGTCACGCCCTTTGGGGTTGTTATTTGTTAAGTACTAACAGTGTGTGTATATATGTGTATACTGAGAAGCCCTCAAAACACACAAGTGGACTGAAATAATTTACACTAACTAAAGTCTTTGCTTTATTACACACACTGTGGTAAACAGTGAATTCACAGCTACCAAAAAACTTTACTGTCCTCAACCATGCTGGACACAGCTGCCTCCAGCTGGTAAGTCTGTTGTGGTGGACAAAGGAGGGAGGGAAGGGGGGGGGGCAGATCAACGCCCCCACAGCAAGGGAGGGATTGGGGGGCTGGGAAAAGTTGCCCAGCCAGGGTGGAGGGGGGTGGGGAGGGGCACAGGACTCAGGAAGCAGGGCTCCTGCCACTGAGCGCCGCCGCTGGTCTGTGAGCTACTCTTCTGATGGGTCCTCCAGCAGCTCTTGATGCCAGTCCGGGAGGGCATGGGAGTGGATATGTGCCCCCGAATCCGCACAGGGTGGCTAGGCCGGGCTGCACTCCAGACAGGTGGCAGAAGGCACTGGGAGCAGGGGCTATGCCCTGCCACTGCTTGCATAGCTGGGGCGGGGAGGTGCAGGACAGTGCCGCTGAGCTGTCTAGAACAAGTGGCACGCAGCGGCGGAAACCGCAGCGGAGGAAGCCGCTCCAGCCTTCCCGTGCCTCCCAGACAAGCTGCAGCTTTGCCACAGCTGGGCGAGCAGTGGCAGGGCATGGGGGCTGGTGTGTGCACCTGGATCGGGGCGGGCTGGTGGAAAGGGCTATAGGGAATTTTAAGGTGGCTGCAGCCCGCCCCATGGCCCCTGCTCCACTGTGCTCTGCTGGGCGGGTGGAGCCAGTGCTGGGGCTAGCCTCCTGGAGTGCAGCCCTGGCTCCACCCACCCCGCAGAGTGCAGCCCAGCATTGGGGGCTTGCCACCTGGAGCGCAGCCCTGGCTCCATCTGCCCCATGGACCACAGCCTGGTGGTGGGCAGCTGGAACAAGCCTCCTGGAGTGCAGCCCAGCTGATCTGGGGGCACATGCCCACTCCCACACCCTCCCAGACCGGTGGTGAGAGTTGCCAGAGGAGCCACTGGAAGAGCAGCCCCAAGACTGGTGCCACATAGTGGCAGGAGCCCCCCTCCCCAAGTCCCGTGTCTCCCCGCCAGGGCTGGGCAGCTTGTCCCAGCCCCAGCTCCAGCCTCAATCCCTCCCTCCCTGTGGGGCATTGATCTGCTCCCCCTCCTCCCACGCCCCTTCCCTCCCCCCTCCGCCCACCACAATAGACTTACCACATGGAGGAAGCTGCATCCAGTGTGGTCAAGGACTGCTGCCTGTTTAGTCTATGGCTGAATCTCTGAATCAGTGCTGAATCTCTCCAAATTGATTCAGAGGCTTCCAAATCGATTTGGACCTTTTAATGGATCTCCTAATTTGATTCGGATTCAGAGATTCGGCCACCAAATCAGCAGCCTTGGTCTGTAAAGGGTCCCTTCTCCTTTTGTATATTGGACAGTTTTCAGTGTTTCCATTTTGATTATTTTACAAGGTAAAAATTACTGTAAAATGTTCAAATACAGGAAAAGTCGATTGGATTAACCTCAGAAGAATCTTCTGGTAGCTGAGATGCAACAGTCAGAAGAAATCTGCAGCCCTGTACTGGGAAGTTTCAGTAGAAATGGAACCAACTGTTATGACTATTGGAACTGAAAACAGCTTTTAATTGTTTTGTTGCTAAGCCCCCTTAAAGTGGTTAGTGGGATAATTCAGCACATATTGTTATAAGAGAAGGGTAAATAGATTTACTCTCCTTTGTAATCAAGAGAAATTTAAGGATTAAGTAGCAATTTAAAACATTGTGGAAAGTAGTTGCAACTAGTAGTGATTTAGAAGTTCCAAGGTTTCCTTTCTATAAATCTATTGCCATTCTGATCATTACTAGCCCCATGCCTTTTATCTATATGGCTATGCAGGCTCCAGCAAACATCCAAGGAAACTAAATGGGCTAATCTAGCTATGGGTCCATGGCATTATGGAACTGTCTCTGAAGTTCAGCAGCTAACCTCTTCACATCTCCCATTGAATCCTCTGAATTCTCAAGTCATGCCTTCCCACTTACTTGTACAGAACAAAATGCTGAGAAGACTTTGTGGAATACAGCTACAGGTATAAACATGGTATCATGTTGTGCTGAACAAAATGGAAGAACTGATTCCCTTATACAAATACTTTTTCCTGACACTGTAAGAGGTGATTACTATCCATGATTGCTCTTTATTATATCAAATTATCCAAACAAGGACTAAGATATTCTCTTTATCTGTGGACTTGCCTAATCTTCAAAAGCAACGTATGTTCTCTTTGGCTGTAAAGATATGAGAACAATGTTATCAAGTTCATAGGAAAGTAGGGCTGGAAAGGGTTTCATGAAGTCATCTAGTCCAGTTCCTGCTCAAGGCAGGATTATCCCTAACTAAACCAGCCCAGCCAGATGGCAGTCCAATCTGCTCTTGAAAATTTCCAGGGATGGAGATTCCACAGTTTCTCTAGATAGCCTGTTAAAATGCTTGACAACCCTTACAGTAAGTAAGCCCAACCTAATTTCCATTCTGAATTTCCTTTGCTGCAACACAAGGCTATTGCTCCTAGTTCTGTCCCCTCTGGCCACAGAGAACAGTCAATCCCCATCCTCTTTATATTTGCCCTTCAGGCTGTTGAAGGATGTTATCAAATTCCCTCCCACACTTTTCCTCTCCAGATTAAACTCTAGCTCTCTTTCAATCATTCCTTATAGATGATGCTTCCCAGGCTTCTATTTTTGTTGTGCTGTGCTGAATTATTTCCAATCTGTCCATATCCTTCTTGAAGTGTGGTGCCCAAAACTAGACACAGTGCTCACCATGGCTGAATAGGAAGGAAAAATAACTCCCTTTAATTTGTATATTAACACCTGTTAATATAACCCAGTATGCTCTTGGCTTTTTTTTTTTTTTTTTTTGCGCAACAGGAGCATATATGGTTGGCTCATCTTCAGCAATGTTTGGTCTACTGTAATATACATGTCCTTCTCTGCAGTACCACAGCCTAGCCCAGGGGTGGGCAAAATGGTGAATGCGGCTGGTGGCTGGACTCCATTTCCCAGCAGCCCCTGCCCGCATCACTGCGGCAGGTTTCCATGGAGACCCCAGCAGCGGCAGCGCCATGACAGCACAGGCCAAGCCCAGCAGTACACAGCTTGGTGGGAAGGGGCTCTGCAGTCAGGGCTGGGATCTTATAGTGGTGACAGCATGGTCCGGAACTGGGGCAGAGCCATGATGCCCTGCCTGCACGCCTTTGCCTGGGGTATATGGGCAGCGGATCACAGCTCTGCCCCAGTTCTGGACCATGCTGTCACTGCTGCAAGATCACAATCCTGGAACAGCTCCCCACCCATTTGCGTGCCCTGCCAGCGCCACTGGGGTGGTCTCCATGAAAACCCTGGCCCTGTACTGTCACGGTCCGCTGTTGCTGGGGTCTCCATGGAAACCGGCCACTGCAATGCAGGCAAGGGCTGCCCACCCCTGGCCTAGTCAGTAATACCCCAGTCTATATTTTTGCATGCAATTATACTTGTACTTGTTTAATTTCAGCTGACTGATTGTGGAGCATTTCTCCAGCCTGTCCAGGTCATTATAGATCATAGCCCTTCCCTCAAGAGTGTCTGCAACTCCACCTAACTTGCTGTCATCCTCAAACTTGCTTGGCATACACTCAAATCCCACTGTCCAAATCATTAATGAAGATGTTAAACAGTATCAGACCCATGACAGACCCCTGAGGAACCCCACTTGATATCTCCTCCCAACTAGACATTGAGCCATTGAGGACTACTTGTTGAGTACGGTGATCCACATAGTTTTGTATGAACCTTACATCTTCCTCTTGTCTGTATTTTTCTTTTTAAATTAATAATGCGAATGTTGCAGGAGATGGAATCAAAAGCTTTGCTCAAGTTGAGATAAATCACATCTACTGCTCTCTCCCTATCCAGAGAGTCTGTCACCTTATCATAGAAAGCAAGCAGGTTGGTCATGCCTGACTTGCTCTTGGTGAATCCATGCTGATAGCTCCTGATCAACTTGCTCTCCTCTACGTGTTTCACAATAGATTCCTTAAGGACCTGTTCCATGATTTTTCCAGATATTGACTATAATTCTCCATATCTACCTTTTCCCCTCTTTTTAAAAATGGGCCCTATATTTGATCTTTTTTCAGCCATCCAGGACCTCACCTGACCTCCACAAGTTTTCAAAGATGATAGCCAATGGCTCTGAAATTACCTCAAATTCCTTCAATATTCTAGGGTGTATCCCATTTAGCCTTGCTGACTTGAAAACATCTAACTTCTCTAAATCATCCCTAACTTGTTTCTCCTCTAGGCTTTTTGTCTGCTTCCCTATCTTTCCTGCCAAATGCCTTTGTTATCCAGTAGCTGTCCCTGTTTGTGCAGACTGAAGTCATAAAGGCATTAAATACTTCAGCCTTGTTGACATCATTCAAAGGCATTACATACTTCAGTCTTTTGCATTCTGTAACTGACCTATGGTTTCTCTGGTCTTCTTACTTTCAACATACACTCGCTGAGTCTCCAGGGATGCTGGAAATAGGGAAAAACTCTTGCCAAGTGATTACAGAAGCAGAAATAACCAAAGGTATTTTTAAATGCTGGTTGGAGATGTGGCTCTAATTTAGTTGTATATGTGAACATCACCCTCTGTAGGTAGAAGAACTGACCCTCCAAAAATCAGGGTACTGAAGCAGAAAACACTGTCTGCTACATCACCTTGCACATTCCAGGTACAATTGCATTCCAAGGTTGAAAACCTGGTTATACCCCATGTGATGAATATATAAATCAGGCAGAACACCTGCAGCACACAATTTTAGAAATGAGAGGCAATTGTGTTTCAAAAAAAAGAAAAAGCCTCATTACTCTCATGTCTTGCCTCCTGCTGTTGGGGTGGTATTTCTTTCTCCAATTAAGTGAGCACTTAGCAGTAGCATTTTGAGTAAAAAGAACCTAATTAACTTGAAATCTCACTATCTAGCTTTCACTACAGCCCATCAAAAATCTAGACATTTTAGTACAAGCATTTTGGTTGGACAGAGAACATATGTACCTCTGTACATTAGGCATCATGAAGCATGATTTATTATGGTTCATGCATATTTCCTAAAGATAATAAAAGTGTGGCATTCAACTTCTGTGATATATTCAAGTTCCGATTCCATTTAAGGATATTCTTTATAGATTAAAGGTGCAGTTGCTCCTAAAAAGTGATGGTAAAATAGCTTTTTTGACACAACAAACCTCTTTCTACATGTATCTAGAGTCAAGCCTTATGACTAATCACAAAATAAAATATCACGGCTTTTCATTCCTACCAGTGAGATAACATGCCACACTGTATGTGAGCAGAATTCTGATGCTTCTCATACACCATCAACATTATTAACCAAGTTCCAGTAAGCTACCCACACCTGCACACACCTATTGAAAATCAGAGGTACAGACAGAAGTCATGGAAGGCACTGTTTGAAAACAGTGAGGTGACACAGGTTTTATTAAAACCTAATTTTTCCCACAAACATAATTACAGGTAGCAATGGATAAAAAGGAAAGGAACAGGCTTGACTTTCAGCTGCTGTGAAATTTACAGGGCTGTCAGTTAGGAAAAAATACCTATTTACTTGAAAGATGAGAGTGCTTGATAAAGAGATCCTGCACAGATACTCACAGATCCATATGAAACCATTAGGGCAGAATCACTTTTCAAAGCAGAACTGTGCTTTAAAGATGCTTGAATTACAAAGCTGTGCTTTACAGTGTCAGGAAGAGCCATGAAAAGCATAAATGAATTGTCACCTAGGTGTCCTTACAAACAGCCATCTCTAGATGGTGCTAAATATTAAACTTTACGGTAATCAAGAGCTTTACTTCAAGGTGCAGTTTCTCCAGAAAAGACACTTAAAAAAAGAGCTATACAAATGCAATTTGAATATACACTGTCTGCTGTAAAGCAATGCTTACGTTAAGGTGTAATCATATAACGAGCAATAGAGGACTCAAGATTAATATTAAATGGTTTTGTTTTAAAGCTCATGCAGGTATAAATGTTGTCTTACCAACTGGCTCCATGGACATTAATAGAGATGCCTCTTAAAAGCTTTTATACTTTGTTTTCCAACAAGTATTTTAAGGTATGTCTACCATCTTAAAACACTATGCTAGCTCCAGCGGTACAAGAAACAAGTCTAAAACCTCAAGTTATAAAACATAATCTAATGACTTGGAAAAACTGACTTCACTGATGAATGTCCAGGGATCAAATATTCTTGACTCATACCTATGATGAGTGTTAAACATGACTAACAGAGCTTCAAATATTTAGGCGTTTTTAGCAGGCTTTATTTATATAAAGTACACCAAAAGGTGTAGAGAAACCCAAACTAAAGAGTTAATTAGATGTATATATGGTTTTTAAAGAGAGACACCTTGCACAGAATGCGGAAGGTGACACAACTTTCATCTGCTTACCAGACATACCTGTAACATCCAATGGACGCTTCTTAAGAGCAGTAACCACTGGGCCATCTTTTCTCCGTAACAATGGGCTGCTCCGTCTTTCAGCAACTTTTTGCTTTAGCCTGGATCGTAATTTCAGATTGGGTTCAGAAGCTGAGTAGAAAAGGAAAAATTATCACTGAAAACAGAGCTCCAGTTCATATAATCTTATTTGTTATTTCCCACTAAGTACATTGGCTAAATGAAATGAAATGTACAGAATAAGTACCAACAGATGTCTTCTGTACTAGTACAGCTGATAATGGTTAATGTTATTCCAAAAACAATGCTACTTTTATTGCTGGACAGTGCTTTGCAGTATAACTTACTAAAAAGTTAATCATAGCTAGGATGATGCAAGATACTTATCTGCAACATGTTTATGACCACAGTACAGTTGAACCCCTAACTGTGATGAAGGGAAAGACTAGTAATGGATACTCTATAAATTAACAAAGGAGTGAATTGGTCTGTGTAGGAAAATAAAAACAAGGAACAAGGGGCTGGATTCCCTATGCCTAGTTCAGCTTGTTGTATGACTGAATGATGTCAAGTATTTTGAAAAAAATTTACCTTTAACATGTTAAGATACTTTAAGGCCAAAGGCACGTCTGTGGAATCAGGGAATTTATAAAAACCAAACCCTATTACATCATTCAGGATACATTTTTCATGTACTCTTAACTAGAGTTTCAAACAGGAAAATGTTCCAAGATGCCTTAAATTTAAATTGAAAAAGCCAGCAGATGTTAACAGAGCTTTCATATCTGCCTTAGTGGTAACTGGGAACAGTGACCTGTTGGCATTACATGCTTGACAGGCAGTGTTTTGAACAGATAAAGAAATGTGGAAAAAGCTAAAAAGGTTCCTGCAAAAAGACGATTTACTTTAATATATCCGAAATATTTGCTTTAGTGTTTTAAAATTCCTGACAGTTACGGGATTTGTGAACTGAAACTAAATTTTCTCTTCCTCCACTCTAAACAATCCTGCTATATAATCCTATGCAAATCTTGTGTTCTCATCACTGAATACTGATACATTTGTGCCCAAGGGTCAATAATGTACAACTTCTGCAGCAGACTTAAAATGGGGTTTGCAAACTGATTTGGATTAACAAAGTCTGGCTACTGATATATTTCCCTATGGTTGTCTTTGACCGCTAGATTGCATAGAAGGGCCAAACAGGCTGTCTTAACTGCAGGGATGATAAATTTGTGATCAAATGTTTAAAGTTAAGCCATCAAAACTGTTCTTTGATGAAACTTCAGAAAAGGAGCTTTTCATGAATAAGCCATGGACAGAAGAAAAATTGTCTACCTTAATTTGGTTTTTAAAAAAGATAAAGGAAGTACTTAAAAACAGGTGTCAGACTGATCAAGATCATGTTTAAAATGTAATCTGAAATGCATTAATAAAAAAGCAAATCATGTTATACAGGATTTACATATAAAATGCAAGAAGAATGAATGCAAATCTGTTGTTTACTAGAATCAACAAAATTAGAGGGGGCTTTCAAGTTAGAAATGCACAGTCTGCACTAGTCAGTAGCTTTGTTTTAGAGAAGCACTTCAAGTTAGTGTAAAACTAGTTTTAAATGAAAACATGGTCCATTAGACATAAGGACACCCAAAGCCTCATGACATGCTCTTTATCTTTAAGGCTATCTTTAAAATGTACAGTAATACATGCTCTAAATAAAATATTAACAACTAACTAGATGCTTGGGTCCATATTTTAAAGTTGATGTGGTTAACCTGAAACATGGGTGCCACAAGTGGTACAGACAGCCTGTGTGTGTAGCATGGCAGATCACTGAGTGAGCAGGAAGCAATGGCTGACAGGGCAGGGAACAGACAACGAAGTAGCAGACTGGGCAGGCAGTACAAGGCTGGGAGCAAAAGTCCCAGTAGATCAGGCATGGGAAAAAGGACTGGAGTGGCACTTGGGAAGGATGTAGGGCTACTTTGTGACACGCCTCCCAAAAATGTTGGCCCTGCAGTATTAAAGAATGAATTTGCACAATGTTTCATACAGTCATGGTTGCACAGTTTGTACACATCACGGAGCATCTATATGTAGGCATACCATAAGGACCTATTCAACAACTCCTTTGACAAGGAAAAACATGGTAATGTATATTATACTTTGGTGAACAGTTTATTTCTATGAAAGTTATTTCTTGTATGGTGTTTGTTCAAATTGTTTTGTATCAAAAGCAAAAGTACTGTATTTACTTGAATCTAAGATGACCCCCCCCCACAATAATAAGATTATATGCATGGAAAAATTATAAATTATAAACAGCCTCACTGTTTTAAATGCCTGCAACACAGTCCAAACTGCCCTCTAAAGTACAGAATCTAATTATTGGAGGGTAGTCTTTAATTCATCCCCAACACCACCGCAAGGAGGAAAGAAGTAGCAGAAGGGCGGGGGGAGGAAGGAAGGAGCAGGTAGTGGTAGCAGAGCAAGAAGCCTGCCCCTTGTCCCCCACCTTGTCCCCTCTCACCTGTGACCACCACCACTTGTTCCCTTTGCTGCTTGTTCCTAGCAACAGGTGTTCCCCCCACCTCCCTTCTACTTGTTCCCCATCATGACCCATGCTAAATAGGTGAGAAAACCTCATCTTGGATTTGAGTAAATATGGTAATTGTATGGGTTTAAAATATAGTGAAGAAAATGACTTGATTTTGAAATACCTTAAAGGAGGGAAGAAAAAAATTGTGCAAGATTAGCTAATATAGCAAACAACGTTACTAAATATACTGGGAAGAATCTTCTGTATAATGGTGAATTTCTACAGGATTAAAAATAATCCCATGCTTAAAATTGGTTCCAAAGGAAAGATATGGTCTACACAGAGAACAGCATATTACAACTATTCAGATAACCTTATTACATAGTGTTCTTCACCCCACTTCATCTTAAGGTAAGTTTTGAATCAGAAGTAGTAGTTTAAATCGTTACAATTCTGCAGCTAATTGCTTGGACTTTGTTCTACAATGACTGTTTTTTTTATAAAATATGTTAATCCTAGATAGGAACCTTCAAGACTCCAAGAATTTTTTTTTAATTGGTTTTTAATTGTGTATTTTGTAGCTTCCATTCATGGTATCTATGATGCATAAAAATACCCATATACATTTCACTCAATGTAATATAAATAAATGAATCAAAAATACCTTGCCAGCAGCACATAATCTGAAATTCCAGGTATTTACATGTGTCATGTGAAAGCCTCACAGTTATGCCACGCTGTAGTTGTCAACAATACATTTTGAAACCTTAAACATGGTATGAGTCTATTTAGATGCTTTACTATGATATTAAAAAACTCTCTAAATTTAAGAGTGCTATCCTTCAGAGACATATATACAACAAATTCAGGCAATACATACATCATAATTATGCAGTCTGAACACACAAGATCAAACTTTCTTTAGGAAACACCAATTCCACAGGAAATTTCTTGACATGCATTCAGCATGCAATGTGTCCAAACAAAGTGCTCCTTACAGTGAACACATTCTGATACAATCCAGAGTACTTGGGAGTCTATTCTCAAAAGCCCTGCACTGGAAAAACACTTATGGGTCTTCTCAATCTCATAGTAAAATCCTGTAATTATATATTCTGCACTTATAATTCAATAATTCAGTCTCTAGTTAGCAAGGTAATAAGGTATTTGCTAACTTTTAGCAAATAAGAGAGGTGGATAACTGTGTTAATGTAAAGTTAGGCAGAAGGCAGGACAAGGTGGCACCTAAAACTCTTATTGAAGTCAATGGAGAGATTACTTGAATGTTTAAGCACCTTATTGAATTGCAGCCTTAGTGACTGTGTTTAGTTAGCAAAAATATTTTCTAAGTGAGTAAATTAAGACATGAAAGACGCTTCCCTGGTCCTCAAAAACAAGCCATTCCTGCACGCTATTTACAACAACAGAACTCAACATAACCCAGTTCTTTATGGCATCTGTCATTCCCATTGTTTTCTTCTCTGCAATTATACACATTTATGAGCTTGTACAGAGCTTGTGTAAAACGGAACAGAATACTTAACAGGTATTTTTACTCTTCCTATTCCTAGCGTGACATTCTTATTTGAAAATCAGTAAAATAGATGCGCCACCAACAGACCTGTATTTTCAAATCTTAAGAGCAACTCTTTACTTCTAACTCATGCTAACTACTGTAGGAAGTTTGGCAAAGGACAAAAAATGTTATGTCACTGTTCTAATGCCCGGTGCAGCTGTAACTGGTCAATGGAGAAGGGGAAAGCATGGACACCCCAGGCTTAATAGCAAAGAAATAACACTCCACTGCTCTGCCCCCTGCTATTGGGAAGCTGCATTTAAAATCTGTTGTCTACATGATCAGAAATTCAACCTAGTATCGTGGTAACCTGGGCCAAAAAAGTGAACACAAGGCATGGTACTGGGCTCACATCTGTTCCTTCGCTTCACCTGTCCTCTCCTACCCAAAGATATCTATGTTCCTTCTCTCTCCATATATGATGCTCCTTATCCCAACTACTCTACCGCAGCCCTATTTTAAATGCCTGTAACTAGGGGTGCACCGATAGAGATTTTTGGGGCCGGTATTGATAACCAATTTTTAAGGAGGCATATTTCCGATACCAGCCTGGTAGTTTGAAGAGCAGTGTCCAACTGGTAAGTCTGTTGTGGTGGAATTGGAGTGGGGAGGGAAGGGGTGTGGGGGGGACAGATCAAGGCCCCTGTAGTAAGGGAGGGAGTGGGGCTGTGGCTTGGGCAGGAGCTGCCCAGCTGGAGTAGTGTGGGGCATGGGACAGATCCACAGCTCATCTGGGGGTTGCGGGGATGGGGGGGTGGCTCCTGCTACTGCGCGCACTCTGGGAGGACATGGTGGGGCATGTGCCCCTCGGATCTATGCAGGGTGGGGTGGGCTGGGGCCACGCTAGGCTCTTCCCAGCAGGAGCTGGGCTGGGTTAGGCTCGGGGTGGGCAGTGGCAGCATTGGGAGGGGGGCTACAGAGGTGGGAAGCTGCAGCCACCCCAAAATTCTCCATAGACCCCTCAGTCCCCTCTCCTAGCACCGCTACCACCTACCTCAAGCACAGTCTGGCCCAGCC